AACAAACAAACTTTTGATCAATCGACATGGGATTCTCACACACCTCAACTTTAATCGAGATGGGCTGAGTAATACACTGCGTATCCCCACCTCACATCACGCCACGCGCTTCCCGGACCTCGGTGGCCGTCGGCGCGTCTTGCTGTCCTTCCCAAAAGCCCCGCAAAATCCGCAGGCCGAAACCCTAGGAGACGGCGGCTCGATCGCCGGCGAGACTCTCCCGGTGCGGAATCCGCCGGTGGATCGGTTCCTCTGGATGGTCAATCCGGCCGGCCGCAGCTCGCCGTCTCCGCCGCCGTCCACTTCCGATTGCTGGGCTTTCGCGTCCGTTTCCGTTCGCTGGGCTTTGACATCCTTCTGCTGGGCGGCGAGCTCGCCGGACAATAATTTGTCGTCCCATACCAAACCAGAGGAGCCTTGTCTCCTGAATGAGACTGCGGATCTCTGCAAACCTGCCATAGTCTGTCGCTTATTTTCTTTTTCCTTTGTTTTTTTTTTTTGTTTTTTTTGTTTTTGGCCTTTCTCTTGGTGGTTTTGGGAGTGTTGGGGGGTTTTCTTTTGGATGAGGGGCGTTTTAAAAAGGCTTAATAATTAATGTGCGCTTTGTGTATGTAATGTACGTGATATACATACATATATATGCCTGAATTGTGATTGGTGTTTTTTTTTCTTTTAATTGTTAGTATTATTTTTTTATTTTTTTTAGTGCGTGTGAGGTGTATGATCGGATAAGTCAGTAGACTTTTGGGTCTATTTATAATTTATTTAGATAGAGATGAACTTGATTATTTCCAAACATTATGATATAAATTATTATATACGTAATATTTAATTATTTACTTTGTTTATACAATTATTAATAAATTAAGTTTAATATGAATACGTTCTTGAAAGATAAAATAGTTTCTATATTTTTGTATTTATGATTTGTATATTTTGTAACTAATGTGGCGTTAAAAAATTTGCTCATATTTTCTTAGGTTTTATTTATATTTTAATGTCTTGTATTTATATTATTAAGAATTATATTCAAAATTTTAAATTGATGGTTCAAAATACTATAAATCTAGAACTGATAGGATTTTTTTTATTCGGACCACAAAATAATAAGGTGATATTTAGATATTCAAACAATGATATCCTCACATACTGCATTATTATTTTAAATCAAATTTAGCGAACACAACTCCGTTCTGTTAAACTCGAGCCCGACTCGTTAATTTCTTTCCTTAGACTAGGGGAGCTTGATTTTTTTCTTATATTTATCATTTAAACAATGTGAGCTAGAATATTTAACTGAACTTGTTTATCGAAATGAGACGAGTTGCGCTTAACTTGTTTACAAACATTTTATTTTTTAAATGAAATATTTGAGGCAATAATTTTCACAAGTGAATTCTTTTGTTAAAAATTAGCTCATTTAAAATTTTAAATTTATTAAACGAGTGAAATTGAGTCAGGACTTAATTGAATTGGACTCAATTTAAGCGGAATTATTTATTACACGAGCACATAATCAAATATGAGGTAATCCACTTATAGATAATATACTAATGTAAAGTTGATCGGGATGCAAGTCATTATGACACCAAAATTCCCTAATTAATTTATTCTGTATTGTTCATAAATAAATAAATAAATAAATAAATAAATAAAAACTGAAGCACTGAAATGTCGTAAAAAATCTCAAAATTTATTGCTGAATGACTTATATAGTATTAATTAATTAACAACTCGTGACCTTAATAGTCACGCATATTTTGCGGATCTGATTTATTCTCAACGTGACCACTTGATCTAGACACGTGTACTTGTCCAATGTGGAGGCAAAAGCTTAACAATAATGCATTTAGCTACCGACACATGTCTTTCACTTTTACCTTTTGGTATTATTAATTAAATAAAAGAAATAAACAAAAGGATAGTTTCGGGGTAACATAAATTGAATGTTTGTAGAAAAAGCTAGTAGAGAATATTACACGAATCAGATCTTTGTTGGTTGTTGGTACACACAATATCTCGTTGATGAGAAGCGCTGCATGGCTAAGATTTGGTACACACAACTAAAGGACCCGGACGGAAATTCCACGAGTGCGAACAACAATGAAACGAGCCCGAACAACAACAATCACTCCCATGTACGTAGCAACGACTAATGAATATTTGCAATAGAAAAGTACACAACAAATGAATGGTTTGGAACAATAATTGACTAAAAGAAATACAAATCGTAAGAGAACAAAATCATTGTATTTGGTGACGAAATCAAAGCGCTTGGTTGATGTATTTCAAGTTCAGGCTCCATACAAAATACCCGCAAGTTTATCAATTAGATACTAAATTCGGGCCATGGCCATTCGAATCACCGGCACCCAAACCTTCGGTTGCCCAAAATATTGCACAAATAAATCCCCGGGATACTTACGAAGAGGGTACACACAAAGTACTATGAAAAAGATTACCATCTAATAATGGTTGGACTTTGAAAACTCCAAATTCAATTTATCCACATATTTAGTATCAATAACAAACTTGTAAATTATGTTCAACTGTTGTAAAACATTTATTTACTTTTTGCCACTGTCGAAAACTTTCACAAATTAATACAAATCAAACATATCATGCCACAAAATATTCATCACTTATGCGATCGGACAAACTGTTCTTTAGTTTTAGTGAACATACATTTTTTGTAATCTCTAAAACTTTAATACATTATTGGATATACTTTACAATTTTAGCAAAATCAATTGATGAACTATTGATATGGATAATGCTCCTTTACCTACGTTGTGCACATGTTAATATGTTCACTGCTTATGTTGCATGCAAACATTGGTGATATTAATATGTTAAAAAAAGACATCACCAATATGTGCATACTACATAAACGGTGTACATATTAACATGTGACCACCGTAGGTGAGTATTACTCCTAATATAGAGACAATTTTAGTGCTCGAAAATGTAACATGTCAAAGTTATTGTGGTAATTTTCATTCTTGTGAAAGTGTCAATGATTAGTTGTAAAAAATACGCATTTGTTGTGACCATTGGCCACACCATAGAATAATGGTTGCCTCCTTTTTTGATCCCTTAGTTATCAAAACATTGAATGCAAAAGCCATAAAGGAGAAAACATTATGAAAAAAATAACATAAAAAAGTCAACAATGTCGTTATCACCTTATCATGATTGTCTTTTTTTATTTTTTTCATGATAAATGATGTTCTATCTACCCATGGAATTAAAATTAAATGAAATATGGGACATTGACAGCCATTATTAATTTGTTGTATATCTTTAGTTAATTGGGGGTGTTGTCAATGGTCTCGTCACATTAGCTACGAAATATCCACACAATAAGGATTAAACAAATTAAATGCAATGTATTTGGGTGTTGGGCGCTTCATATTGTAAAACTTTTGATGTGTTGATTAATAGGACAATTATAAACTACATGCACATGTTAATCATTCCATCGGAGTTTGTAACCGTTAAATCAGGTATCTATGACGTCTATATGTTGATCTAACAGTAATTACAAACTACGACGAAATGGTTTCGTAACGAGCCCTTAGCGTTTCCCATATGCTATAATCAAATTTCCACAAACCAAGTGAAACTATGCACTTATTTGACCTAATTTTATGAACATAATTTAGAATAAAAACCAATCATTACAATATATTTCTTTATAAAATTAATTACTCAAGTGATCCCCCGTTTATTATTAAATATTGTTTTGAAGAATAATACGAAAATGAATAATTCATATCTTACAGTTTTATCAAATACTTTAAATCATACAATTTTGGATATTAGTTATCTAATAATCATTATTTTCTAACAATACTTTATTTATTATTTTTTCTTTATAACTACTTTATTGTCTCTCCATAAAATAAGATTGTGTATGTAATATAATTAGATGATTTGTCTTAAATGATAATAATTAGCTATATAATGTAAAACCTAAACTTCAATTTAATTATTATTATTATTTTTTTTTTTTTGAAATTATCATTCAACGATGTCTTCATGAGATGTTTTGCTTCAAAAAATGCAGTTAGGTCTTTTTCTCCAAAAGCTACACACAACGATTTTGTTTAAGAATCACTGGCCCAATATAATGGCCCAACAAAGGCCCAATTCACATGGTCGTTTAAATTTTTGCTTTTATATGGCGCAAATTCGTCCCGCCAATTTTTGTTCGGTCAGATACCAAAATCAATTACTCACATCGAAGAGCAGTCGTTTTTACTCTACCGCCTTTTGTATTTCTCAGATCCCGGCCGGCTTTCGGTTACCGATCGGAATCTGCTTGCTATTGGTTAGTACTTCTGTGACTGTCATCTGCGTACATCTGAGCATGCTTTTATCTTCTTAGTTTTCGTAGAAGTTTCGTGTCTGAGGAATATCCATTTTTTTTTTCTCTCAAGTTTTTTGCTGATAAGGTGTTTGATGAAATGCCCGTGTGGGATTTTTGCAGAAAGAGTGGGAGCCGGCTGAACTTTTCAGAAAATGTATGCTCGAAAAGCGAGCGAGTTGGTGAAAGAATTCGCTAGTAGTGAACCTGGGCAACTTAGCACTTTCAATGTGAGTGTAACATTAATGTTTCGGTTTGTTGTTGGAATCAGAAATCCGTTGATCTAGCATCATGATTTCGACTATGGTTCATTTCTTTTAGATTTCTCCTTTTTCAACAATCATAAGACTTCGATTTGAATGCTTTTTTGGTATAATATTTTGCGGAATTTGAAGAAAAACATGTTCTGAGTGATGGTCAGTAATCACATTATGTTACAAGAGCTTTAATTAGTTTGCTCACATTACTTACTTTGTGCATACAGAACGACCTGTTTGGTCAGGTGCTTGAGGAATGTGACGCACATTTCCTTCAGCTTCAGCCTTTAATCAGGTAAAAAAAAAAAATTGAAGTTCTCTGTGTTCCTTTTTCATTTATCTCAGTCCATCAATCTCCATCTTTGTTGGTTTCTTTAATGGTTTTCATATTCAGATATTTTTCCTTTTTTTTTTTAAATCTTTTCCTTAGAAAAATATCTGACAACTAATGTGGTATAGAAAAATACAAGAACACGAGAAGGAGTTGAGAGAAAAAGGACAAGCAGACGATGAAGTGGGGACTTCCGAAGTAGGGAATAGGAATTTAGAAGACGAGAAGAAT